CTGAAAGTAGCTAGTGGTGATGGGTGTGTAACATTGCAACTGTATTTAAAGACCACCAAATTGTTACTTCAATAGAGTAAATTTTATAATATGGGAATTATGTTTCAATTTAAAAGGAAGTCTGTGTGAGATCTACACATATAAAATTCCAACACTGCAGACCCACATGGAAAGGAAGGTTTCCCTGTTCTCCTCCCCAGTGCTGCTTCTGCCTTCATCTGACTCTCTGCCCTGATTTTGTTTATACAGTATGTGTATTTATGAGATAAACTAGGACCCTGTGCATACTGTTTTGTGACTTTTGTCACTTACTATGGCTTGTTCATTTTTTTTATTAGAAGAGAAAAATTCCCAACCTGACTTCTTAAGGAATATAGCAAACAAAGAAAAAGACTGATTTTGACTACATAAAAACTAAAATTTTCTATATGGAAAAAGATACTATAAATAATCTAACAGACCAGGAGAACATCTACACAACATTTATGGGAAAGGGCTAATATTCCAAATACAGTAGAACCTCCGTAGCTGACCACCTCTCTACACTGACCACCTCCTTTAGTTGACCTGATTTTCACAGACTGGACATGCACCCCACAGACATATGAGTACAGTGGGCCTGTTTCCTTATGGTGACCACATAGTGGGCAGCTGTGTGGGCACGTCTACAGCACCAGGCTGGGGCCAGCCAGGGTGGGAAGTCTGTTTCGGGTTTCTGACTCCAGTGTCTTGTCGGGATTCAGCTGGAAGAAAAGGGCTCTGGAGCTTGTCTGAGGGCAGGTGGAGGCCGAGTCAGTCCACCAGATGCTGGCTTTTCCTGGATCAGTTCAGGAAAACAGGTTATGACTCGTGGAAAAGGATTTGCCTTCAGTATTACTACTGGGGATGACACTTCCAGCAGGGTCAAAGTAACTTCCAAAACCTAGTTATTAACTTTAACAGCAGCAGTCTTGGTTAGTGCCTGAGACAGCTCTTGGAGAACCTAACTTCCTCTATTGTAGGAAAACTTAAATGTCAAACTGGGAAAACCTCAGCTTTACTATAACTATCTTGTTCTAAATGTACTACTACCTACCAAAAGGGGCTATAATTCCCAAAATGGTGTAACACTTTGGTAAATGTATCTTCTACTGTTTAGGAATGCAAACAACAGATTTTATATTTGTTGAAAAGTAAAAAAGAAAAAAATTAAAATGGGCATTTTTTTTTTTTTTTTTTTTTAATTTTGAGACAAGAGTCTTCACTATGTTGCCCTGGGTAGAGTGCCATAGCTCATAGCAACCTCCAACTCATGAGCTTAAGTGATTCTCTTGCCTCAGTCTCCCAAGTAGCTGGGACTACAGGTGCCTACCAGAATGCCTGGCTATTTCTTGTTGCAGTTGTCATTGTTGTTTAGCTGGCCCAGGGAGGGGCTAGAACCCGCCAGCCTTGGTGCATGTCACTGGCGCTGTAATCACATGGCACTGAGCCATGAATATTATGCTTAATAAAATTAAATGGTTACTGAAACAACACTTTTAGGTTAATGAGATTAACATAGATGATTGGAAAAAGAAATATGGAGACATTTTAGAGAACTACCTTGTCTTCAATTATGATTTTAATTGATAAATAGTTTTGGGCCAGGTGTGGTGGCTTAGGTCTGTAATACTAGCACTCAGAGAGGCCGAGATGGGTAGATTGCTTGAGCTCAGGAGTTTGAAACCAGCATGAACAAGACCAAGACCCTGTCTCTACTAAAAACAGAAAAAACATCTGGGTGTTGTGGCAGGCACCTGTAGTCTACTTGGGAGGCTGAGGCCAGAGGGTTTGAAGTTGCTGTGAGCTATGATGCCATAATCACTCTCACCTAGGGGAACAGAGTGAGACTCCTTCTCCAAAAGAAAAAAAAGAATGTTTGGTTTCTTGGGAAATACTAACCTACGTCTGTTTCTAAGCTCCAGCTATTTTGAACATATAGCTAGATGGCAGCCATTGACAGGATTTCAAGGATGTATTTCTCTTTTGTTTTTTACAATTCAAGCTTTCCTAGGACTTTAAATAAAGATCAGAAAGTAAGACTAGCAAATGAATCAGAAATGTGAAGACAGTTAAATCTATTCTAGAATTTAAGTTACATGTGAACAAAGATCTAGCTTATTCATGACCTGTTTAACGTTTTTCTTAGATTCAGACTGCCTATTTGTTGAACCAGTGAATCCCTGTTCTTGTTTGCTGTACTTTCAGCTGTCCTATCATTACGTTGGAGTATATCACTTAGAAAAAGCACTTTGTCAGTATAATAGGTGAAAATAGCATCTTTCAATTTATATTTTTTAATTATTAATGAATGAAGTTTAAAAATAGGTTTATTGAATATAATTTATTGAAAACCCATGCTATTTAATATGGTAGCCACTAGTTTTATGTAGTTGTCGAACACTTAAAGTAGAGCTGGTTTGAATTGTCATAAATACAAAATATACACTG